CTGCTCCCCCTGCTGCGGCGGGGCTGGGGGCTCTCACGCTATCAGAACTGTTTCTTCATCTGTCGGTAAATTGCAGGTAGTAGCGTAAAACTGAGCAGCGAAAGGTTTTGCTCCTCTTATTGGCCAATCTGCCCCTGTCTGACACGCGTAAGTTTGCAGGGACCATCTTAGGCATCTACTCAGTCCTCCAGTCTGTATACCTTGATACGGGGAGAGTTGATGGTGCAGTTCTTAGCACACACCAAAACGTCATCTTCTTCTCTTGCGTAGAAGGTGGCTTAATGTTTTTTCTCTCTTCAAGTAGAAGTGGTCCAAGGGAAAAGTCAGAGACAAGTTGAACAACCTCGTCTTGTTTGACAAGGCCACCTATGACAAACTCTGTAAAGAAGTGCCCAACTACAAGCTCATCACGCCTGCAGTTGTCTCAGAAAGGCTGAAGATTCGGGGCTCTCTGGCTAGAGCTGCTCTTCAGGAACTGCTTAGCAAAGGTAAATACTCAAAACTGTGGAAAAACACTAAGCTGCTTAGACATACATGTATTTTTCTCTTTACTCCCCTAGAGGAGTTCATGCTGCATCCAAAGTAAACAAGTTGGCATGCTTTGAAAAAGCCACTGCACTTAGCTTGTATTTCACAAGCACCCCAAAGTAGGGAGCAGAGGCTGTGTTCTGTTTAGCAGTCTTGCTGTACCATGACAGTACTGCCAAAAGGCCGGGTTGCAATGCAACTGCTCCTGGGCTCGGACAGAAGCAAGCGAGTGCACGTACCAGGCCACCTCCTGGATAGTATCAAAATATTGTTAATTCTGGAACTTCTCTGTTCTAGACGGAGCCTTGAACTGGCTGTCAGGTTGATACCAGATGTTTAAGTGTCTCTAGTAGTTGGTATTAGCTATCCTAACATCTTCCTTTGCATGCTATCAAATCTGCCACATGGGAACACAAGCCATGGCCCATGGGAGCGCAGCATCCTCAGTGTCCTGCAGTGTATGCACACTCAAATCATTGTCTCATCTTGATAGGTTTGATCAAGCTTGTGTCCAAGCACCGAGCCCAAGTGATCTACACCAGAAACACAAAAGGCGGAGATGCGCCTGCTGCTGGGGAGGATGCATAGGAAGGTGAGATGACAGGCTGCATCGGGGTGCTGGGTTTTGCTTTGTCAGTGGCCAGCAATCTACTAGGTACAGTAAGGGCGGGATTTGCTTGTGGTAGACAGCTTCAGTGTTCTCTGGATTGGCCAGTTCTCCTGTGCTGCTCAGAGCACGCTGCTCATACTGAGTGCCTTCCTAGACAGTGTTACTGGAAACATCAGTTCTGAGAATTAACAAGTAATCTGATATTCTTCCTCTATTGCCTGTCCAGTGGGGAAAGCACAGAGTGTACTGCTTCAGTCTCCATGGGCTGCTGGGCCTGCAGGTGTGTGTCCTACCTGCTGTCAGAAGGCACTTGGACTGAAAGAGTTCTCATTCAGATTGTTTGCTTTGTGTTGAACTAGTTGTCTGATTTGGTACTTCTTGCTTTGCAGGTTCTCCAGTGACCTCTTCAACAATATGTCATATGTAGATGCACGCAATAAAATTATTGAAATAACTTTTTTGCTGCTTTTTCAAGAATGTGTATGTTCCATTATTGATGTATGCGTTATTATGCATCCCACTGATAGCGGATTCCTGCTAGATGTTGCAAGTATCTTCCTGTATCAGCCAGTTTTTGCCAAGCCTTTAGCATTCACGCGTTGTTACAAATGTGCCATAAGCATTCTTTTATGTTGTAAAATTGGAAGGAACTTTTAACATCACTAATTGCTAAAATAATATAAAACTGTATTCAGCTTTTCTAGTAGGAAAAAAAATGTAAACCTTGGGTTTCTTGCATTCTAGATAGTGAAGGTGTTAATGGGAGTATTTTGATTACGCATTTAAACTCTGTCTAAACAAGCAGTACCCGCATGTTTCAGTGTACACAAGGAAACAGCACGTCAGGTCAGTATCAGGTGGGCAAGTACAGGTAAGCAGCTCTAAATAAGGCTGTAAATATTTTGTTTGAATGAAGAGGAACAACTGACCATAGGGAAGGTTTTTAAAGCCTCCTTTCCTCTGTGGAGAACTGATTATGGTCACCTCAGAGGTGGGGCAGAACTGGACTCCTTTCCCTGAAGGTTATGTTTTGAAGCGTTGGAAGTAAAACAACGTGGCATCAGTTGCCCTGAGAGCTGCTACCTCTGCCTCTGAAATGAGTTTCTATTGGTCTATTAACAAAAGTGATTTTTAAAAAAGTTTATTTCTCAACGAGTTTATTTAGAGGCATGCCATGCTGTACAGCAACGTAGGACACTGGCACCATGTGCTGTATAAGCCAGGCTTCCCGATACCAAGATAAAAGCAAACAGGCAGGAGACCTTCCTCACTGGCAGGTTTTGCCTTTGTGTAATTTATGACTTCAAAATGCAGTGCCTGGATGATTATTACATGTCCATTACAGGGGGAATAAATCTACTGCAACATCCCTTGCAGAGTAGCCTTCAGCAAAACTACTCAACCCATAGGATTATCCTTGGGTCAGCTTGCCTTCCAGGGAACTGAACACATCTAGATGGATACATAGAGCCAAACCTGGCAGCAGCAGCCATGACAAAGCTGCAGCTTACCTACGGTCCACCTTTTCACAAGGGTCTCAGTTTGGTCTCTTTTGTGCTCTTTTTCTGATCACCTTTTTTTCTTCTTTTCCCCCGATTCAGCTCTAAATTGATGCCTGAAAAAGAAAGCATAGATATAAGAATGCAAGAGCCTTTTCAAAGTGGTAATGAAAGCTGCCGTGTCCACCAAAAAACAGTGCAATGCAAGACAGGTTTTAGAACAGAAGTATTCCTCAATTAGTTGTTCTTTCAGTTACTTCAGTGAACTGCTTCCTTAGCAGTCTTTCCAGCTAGTTGATGCAGATTTTGAGTGGACTAAAAGCTGCCAGCAGGACAAGCATGCGTACAGGCACTAATATGCAGGTCTGACGCATTACCGTCGCGCTCACCGAGGCAGGCACCTTTATGCGTGGTATCTCTGCAGCAGCGACACTACTTTATCTTGCAAGTCACTTGTGCGAGGTTCCAGGAACAGAACGATGCTCTGCCTGGGTTGAATACTGACTGAGCGGAGTAACCGCTATTTCCTGCGGTAAGACTTGTCTCCTCACCGTTGTTGCTATCGCAGAACTCACTCCTTTAGTAGCATGTATAGAAGGACCCTGCACGCCCTCAGTTCAGCATCAGTCTATGCTATCCCGAAGCTCACCTGGACTGCCACCTCCTGCCATGGTTCCAAACCCGCCCGAAGGAAGGAAGCCAGCTGTCGCCTGTCTGAGAGGTATGGTCAAAGTTGGCACCGACGCGATCTGCTGGGAGCTTTTTCAGCTTCTGCTTCTCCTCTAAAAAATAGTATTTTGTTTAGTGAAGGTTTGTCAGTCAAAATGCTTTTGCTTCTTTAGTGTAGTACTGGAGTGAGCTTAAAGTTCACTGGAATGTAAAGAAGCCACTCACTTTCTTTGAGAAATTCCTCATATGATGGTCCAATTTGTTGCTGGCTTCCAACCTCCTCCTCTTCGTTTATTAGCCAGGGAGGTCTTGCTCCTAGAAGTCATAGGGAAAATGCATTTAGCTACAGAAGGTACCTAAACGCATAGAGTGAGCTAGGGAAAAGTATTCCCTTCCCCTATACCTGCAGCTCAACCTACCAAGCAAACTGCTCTGAACTTCATAAAGAAAGCAGCAGGCTTGCCTTAGTAAAGGCCATGACAGATCACACCCCAAAAGCATGTACTCCTCACGGCAATAGCACCTACGCTTTAGAGCCCCAAGTGAGTTTTCCTAATACAGAAGTGTTTTCTTTTATTCTAGCATGCCAAAATATTAGCAAAAGACTTAGCACCTCTTGGTTTGCACTGACTGTTTTAAAATTGCTTTAAACTCTGCCTGTTGCATTTGCAACCCAAGAGTTTTCAGGGGGATAGTAACAAAAATGAGTTAAGCAATGGGAGAGATTACCTGTGTGAATATTTCCTTTCCCTTCTGTTTCCTGTTATCAGAAACATAAGACACCCATCAGAAATTGATGCTTTTGAGGATATTTAAGAATGATGTTATGTGCATTCTAGTATATGAGAGAGAAGAGATGGTGACAGATGGGGGGAAAAAACACTTCTAAGAGTGGACATTCCAGTATCAAGTTCTTTTGCAAAAAAGGCAGAGGGAGGTATTTCTTTACTTTTGTTAAGGAGTGTTTTTCAGCGTGTTTCCAAGAATGCTTGCTTAGTGAGACAAAACATCACATGGCGAAAACTCTCAGCTAGTCGTTTGCCTGAATCAGCAAAGCTGCCTTTTGCAGCAACTAAAATTCACTGTGGAGACTGCAACCCCTCGCTTTGCTTTGTAACATGTGCTAGTGTCATTTGTATAGTTACTTAAATAATCACATTCATTAGCAAAATTAGGTAATGATCATCCCTACCTGGTGGCCAATAAAAGTCAAAGCCTGGCCCGGTTCCATCCAATTAAAATCGGGTACTTTCTGCATCCCACTTGGGCCAGGCTGCTCGGCATCATGAGAGATGTCCCTTGGAATACAGGAGCCAAAAGACAGTCTGAGAGGTGAGCAACCCTTTCAAAGACTAGCAGATAGTGATTGTCTATAAGTTTCAAGAGCAGAGGTGAGGCATGAATGTGCCAGTGGCAGTACTGTATTTGTGTCTGGAGAGTTTTGCAATAAGAAGGAAAAGGAATAATATCCTCTGTGTTCAATAATATCGTTTATATGGTATCACTGTACTTGCTGTTTGTGGCTGTTGTGGCTTACATACCTCTTCAGAGATGAGAGAGTAATCCTTCTGCAGATAGGTAGCTTGCTATGGTCTAGAAAAGTTTGGTTGTGAAGGGTCTGAATGACTGAAAGATCTGGTGATGACAGTGTCATCTCTAGCAGCAGCAGAAGTGAGCAAGAAGCACTGCTGCCATGGCATGGCCCAGTGTTTTGAGCAGAGTAGAAATTACCAGCCAGGGAGGAGACTGGCAGCAACATAAGGAAAACGTCTTACCTTTCATGTCCTGCTGCAGAACTGTAGGCAGAAGGTCCGGCAGGAAGTTGTGGCTCTGTCTGAGGCTGAGTTTGATTTAGGAAAAAGGAACAATATTTCTGGTATCCCACCAGAGCCCCCTCCCCACCCTGCGAACGCCCGGGGGCGCGAGGGGCAGCTCCGCGCAGGCGGGGCCGCTCCGG